AAGTTAATCAAAAGTTAACATACATCACGATGCATATATCATGTTAATGCAGAGGTCATTTGAACAATTAAAGAAGAAATTTACATTTACATATCAAGATCATATTTCATGGAGGTATGAGATCTCGGAATTCTAGTTCATTCATTCCTTTTGTCCAGGTTCTCCTATATCCGGTCCATTGACATCTGGATGCTGGTGTGCACCATCTACGTGTTCGCTGCGCTGGTGGAGTTCTCCCTGGCCTACCACTTCTCTCTCAGGAAGGACCGGGTGCGCCCCCTGGCGGACTGTCTGCGAATTCCACGCAGTTTCTCCAAGAGGAAGTCAACCTACGAACTCAGCTCTGTGACAGTACAGACCATGAAGGTAGCGATGCTTCTGACAATTGCGTTAACTGTGTCTTTAGAATACATATGAGGGATGAGGGAGCCTATATGCATGGTTTAAGAATACTTTACGGCCATTTTTCGAAACCATGGATCATTCAGATGAACTTGCGATGTTTCGTGCAATAAGACGTCATCAATGTTGGTGAACAAACAAACTAAAAACTGTATACGAAAACAGTCACAGTTGAGCAATTCTTTTAAGTATATATAGATCAAGGAATTCGAAGAGACTAGATGTACTGCTTTGGTCACCAAAGCGTGGTCATGCAATAGGGAGGTCATGCATTCACAACGGTCACATTATATTACTGTGTGAAGATGAGTAAAGAGACTCGTTTTACACAACCAAGTCTTTTATTCAGCCGACGTTTCGGTGACCGTCTGTCACCTTTCTCGGGGCTTAATAAAACGCTTGTGTAAAAAGAATCTCTTTACTCAGTGTCTTACCAATCTGATGAAACTATTCACGGATGTGTTATGATGCGTTCAGCACTCAGTAAAAGACATACTATAAGGAATGAGAGTTATTCACATCATTGAAACCAGCACGACATAATGCTGATATGGTGATGGTCTGTACATGTGTCCCGTTCATTCCAGGCAAATGGACGGTGTTCCCGAGTTGACGGCGGGCCGACAGAGTTCCAGACGGTACCGGGAGAGACACCAGCCGTACCCGGGATGGACGGCATGACGGCAGCCGTCAAACTAGACTTATTCTCCAAGATCGGCTTTCCTCTGACTTTCATCATCTTCAATGGTTTCTACTGGGGAGTCTACCTCAGCCAATACTCCACCGCATAGGAATGTAGTCTTCAGTGTACTACCAATTGAAAGTATATTCGAATGAAAGCTCATCTGTATTGGTAGTCTAGAATCCATAGTTGTAAAGTTTAAGCTTTGTTCCAACACAAGATAATTTTTTTATTGGTGAGTTTCTTTCTTGTGTTGGAACAAAGCTTGAACTTTACAACTACGAATGTATATAAATCAATTATATATAATTAATTATATTATATTATATTTGTGTTCTCCTTAGTCAACCCAAGTCGATTACTGACAAAAAATTATATTTTGTCATAGTTTGTTTCTGGATTCATTAGCATTGTTACAATAGCTTTTATATGGGTTATATATACAGATTGTTAATGGAACTAAACTACAACGACTATGATTTAGCTCTTAATTCTTAACAGTATTAATCATTTTATTATTATGTGAAGAAGGCATGGTTTTGTATTAAAATTTACTATATCGTAAGAATAATACTTGCTATAATTATAATATGGACAAGTACGATCAACATGTATCATTTTATATGGACTGGAACATTGTAAAAGTGAAATATTTCTTCTGGTGTCGGAGAATTAGATGTTTCTCCCACTTGTTGCTGTGTAATAGTTCATGTGCCGGTTATAAATTGGGAGTCAAATAATAATAATAATGAATGAATGAAAGACCTTTATTGTACATTTTTGCTCATTGCGAACTAAGAACAGGTTATGGCAAATAGCGGTGGTAGACTGTAATATATCTATGGTAAAACTACATATGTACAGGTTCTGCTTCTTCTCGCTTCTTTAGACAGTTGTAAATGTAAGAACAGATGGAGTTTATAGTACGAGGGGTATCAAGTTTCATGAGGAAAGTGAATTTTTCTTTTCTATCTAAAAATTGTAAACTAGGGAAATAATCTTGTATACAATTGAAGAGAATCTTTCTCTCATTATAATATAAAGTACAGTCCACAATAAAATGACTCTCGTCTTCAATCTCATTTAGGTTACACTAACTTACAGTAATGACAAATTCTTTGTTGCAGAGGAATGTGGTTGTGTCTATCCTTTTCAACAAGAAGTTGAATGTGTGTGCATTGAGAGCTGTACTCCGGTGTACATTAACCTGATTTCACCCCTTTCAGATCGCTGAAGTACACCCATAAATGTCAGACAGACTTTCTTTACTTTCAAGATTAACGAACGATAAATTTTCATTCTTACCAGACGATTCGCCTCAGTTTTTTATGCTTCTGCCTCGTAGGTGCTTTTAAATCTTATTTGTCAGGACGACGGGTTTCTTTTCTGGCGCCTTAGATGTCATGACACATATATCTCACAGACAACCGACTCACTTCTCCGGTTTAGTCGGTCCCAATTCGTCTTGTACTCTTTCTTTCTAAGACCACAGCAAGTACTTTTTATGGATGACATCAGCGCGCGCATTGATTTTCGCCTGATTTTGGAAAAAAAACAAGAAATTTCGTTGCCTTCTGACAGTGGTCAACATGCCGAAAATGGACAAAGTTGTCTGTTGCCATGCCGGAAGGTGGATGGCAGATAACTATGAAGAGAGGAGGCAAGAAAAAGCTCTGATTTAATGTTTTGTTTCTTACTTTGATGCAGTGATATGTGATGCTGGCTGTGTATATGTGATGTTCCCACTGAATCAAAACATTTGTACAATGATTGAGTCAAAATTTTAAAATGTAGGAACCTTGTTTTTTTCGGCCCGCCTTGTTTTTTTTCGCCCGCTCGCATTAGATTTGGAGTCTGCGGAGGATGTCATCCATAAAATTTAGATGCTGTGGCCTAAAGTGTAAAAGCGCTGGCAAAGCAAATGCATCCCATTTGATTGAGTGATAGTGATTTTATGTACCTTTCAGACACGAAAGAAGCATCTGGAATGATATACGACTAATATTGTAGCTTCTGTATGGTATACATGTATGTATATCACTGCACCGGTTATGATAAGGCCACACCAATTTAATTTCTTGTTTAACGGATTCGCCCGCTTCATTTTTTTTCAGATTTGCAAAAAAAAAAACAGAATTGTTGATCTTTATTATTCTCCACTCAAAAACTGTACATCAGCAGGGGGGAGTGCAAAAAGCACCCCCTCTGAATTGGGTACAAATTTTCACATTTCCCTCATTAAAAAAAATTTCACACAACACATCTACTTAAAAACATATACAAAGACACATACAAGAATTATTTACAATATATACACAGTTCATGCCGATTTCTGCAGTGAGTCGTTGTACAGTCTGATCGCGCAATGCAGGAAGGACTGCTGCAGACGCTTGGTTCTTGCGTGAGGGATCGTGAAGTCGTGGCTGTTCCTCAGGGATCTGCCTGTGGCTGAGTGTCTTTGGACAGGAGCCAGGTCATGCAGTGGATGATCCGGTCTTAGCATGGCCTTGAAGAGGGTCACTGCAGCGGCTTCTCTCCTTTCCTTCAGGGAAGGCAGGTCCGGAACGGAACGCCTGCCGCCGCGTGAGATAATCCGGAGGGCGCGCCTTTGAACTCTCTCCATGCTAGCTGCCAGGTCCTCACTGCAACCCACCAACAGGACATGTCCGTACTCCAGAACAGGGCGGATGAGACTCAGGTACACCTGGATGAGATCTTCTACGCTCATGCCCTGTTTTGTTAGCAGACGGAGGTAGTGAAGCCTGCTCGAGGCCTTAGACACCGTAGACTTCACATGTTCACGCCAGGAGAGCTTGTCGTCAAAGATGAAGCCAAGCCCCTTGGCCACGTTAGTGACTGGAACAGGTTCGCCACCGAGAGACAGAGGTGGTAGAGCTGGTATGTTTCTGCTAAAGCAGATCAGCATCGCTTGGCTTTTCTTGCCGTTCAGGAGCATCTCGTTGCGGTCCGCCCAGGTGTCAAGCTGCGACGCTTCCTCTGTCATAGTAGTGTCCGTGCCAGCATTCTTCAGGGAGACTGATCTGGACAAACTCACGTCGTCTGCGTAGCCCACGTCTAAAGTGTCGCTATGGACCACTTCGCGTGAGCTCATGAACAGAAGGAACAGATAAGGCGATAACACTCCACCTTGCGGTACCCCTGACGTAAGCTGCCGCCAGCCACTGAACTCGCCGTGACTGCAAAATGCTCATATTTTGCCCTGGACAGTCGAAAACAGTCTTTTTCTTCCTAGTTGTTACAGTTATGCCATCTTTCAATGCAGTGGTATCATCAAAAGTTCAAAATTCATTGTTTAGATTTTGAACCAGCCTGGTGTGTTGACTTCATGGCTCCTATCGTACCATTTTGGGCCATAATTGGATACCTAGGCCTGTTTTTATTTTCATTTTTTTCACCCGCCCATTCTATTATTTTTCTAGAAAAATCTGTTAACCAAGAAATTAAATTGATGTGGCCTAAATGCGAGGTAAGTTTGGTAATGGTTGTTTTAGGCGATAAACGTCAACAGTATATATATTCCATCGGCCATTCTCGCTTTTCATGTTGTCCTTGCAAACAGTATTAAAATGATTAGCAACAAGGCAAATATCGGCAGACAGACGCGGGTTAGCAGTCAGAAACAATCACTGCAGTAAGTATCCCCACGGGGCGTTGTATCTCATATAACGTCTTGATGTACGAGATACTGTACATGTCTGGTGGATTTTGTCTGGTGGATTTTGCGGACACTGACACAGTTACACTGACACAATAACGTAAGTGTTACATCTAATCAGTGAACAAAGTACGGCAACGAGTAGTTGCCTTTATCAAACAACGGAGAAATAAACCATCAAACAGACCCCTTTCATATGCCCGTAGGTT